CTCCTCTTGGGATCTTGGGCACGCACGCACACGCGCCCGGCGTGAGTTTAAGCCACCGGGTCCGGGACTCAAACCGCGGTCGACTACGTGGGAGTCCAGCGACATAGCCATTACGCTAACTGCTGGTCCCTAGGCCAGAGGTTTTTAGGATATTCAGTTATTCAACTATCTCATCTATTCTTTCTTTTTTTTAAAGTCAGAGGGTGTGTGCATGTGCACGTTGGGTGGGAAAGCAGGAAGAGTGAGAGGGAAGCAGCTCTCAATGGGGCCTGGTCCTGCTGCAATCGTTTTTCCTCCAACGCTGCATTCCTTTAGGATCTTAGCGCACGTATGTGCGTACAGGGTGTCTCTCGACCTACTGGGGCCTGGACTCGAACTCGGGTTGGTTATCTGTGGGTGTTTCCTCTGTAGGGCTCAACCGCGGTGCAACAGGCTGGCCCTCATTTGTTCTTTTTTTTTGGGGGGGGGGTTAGTGGGAGAGGTTTGTGCTATAGGGCATGTGTGCTTGCCAGAAAGAGAGACAGAGAGACAGAAAGTGAGAAATCACCCCCAAGGGGGGATGGCCACACCACCATCCCTTCTCCTCCATTCTCCTCTCGGGATCTTGGGCACACATGCACACGTGCCCAGTGTGAGTTTAAGTCACCGGGTCTGGGACTCGAACCGTGGTCGACTACATGGGAGTCCAGCGACACAGCCATTACGCTAACTGCTGATCCCCGCCCTCATTTCTTCTTGAAATTACATATGCATTTATGTAATCTAATACCTAGGGCAGCTTTTTTTCTAAGGTTGGTAAAAATGGATTTCATAAGCAATCAGCTTGATTTAATCAAAGCAGAATTTCACTGGCAGACTTGTAAAATGATGTACAGGTTAAGTTTGAGTCAGAAGCTCATGTTTGAATCCTAGCCCCACACAACCAGTAATCTCTCTGTGCCTCAGTTTATTTATCTGTAAAAAGGGGATAAGAGGTACTAGCAGATGGCATAATGGTTATGTCACTGGACTTCCATGTAGTTGACTGCAGTTTGAGTCCTTGACCTGGTGGCTTAAAACTCACACCGGGCCTATGCGCGTGTGTGCCCAAGATCCTGAGAAAAGAATGGAGAAGGGACTGTAGCATGGCCATCCCCCTAAGGGGTGATATCTTGCTTTCTCTTTGTCTCTCTCTCCAGTAAGTACATGCACACTATAGTAAAAATCTTGTTTTAAAAAAGAGGTAAGAACCAATAGAATGAATTCTCTTAAGCACTTACAGTGATGCCTGAAACTAGGTATAAGGAAGTCATGATGGATTTTTCTGTGCTTTTCTATGCAAAAATGCATTATGACTTTTCCAACAATCCAATGTATATCAAATGTTCAATAAATGCTAGTTATTGTTGCTGTTACTAAAAGTACATTAATAGATCCTCATCATGATAACTCTAAATATTGCAGGATTCTAAAATTAGCTTTTGAATCATGAACATTGAATCGTGGTCAGTAAAAAGTTATTTAGCATATTTTAATTCTTTGCAAATTGCTGAACCAAGGAATGCCAATAACTTATTGACAAAGCCTTGTGAAGTGTTTTCCCATGTAAGCATTACTATTTTAACAGAGATAGCTAGCTGCCTTTCTAGAAGCCCTTTCCCCCTTCTTCCTTGCTGACAGAGCCTACGTTTTATTCTGGGTGGCACTATGCCTACAGTAAGAGGTCATTTCTGACCTCCTTCCTAGCTTGGGAGATCTCTTCTGGTGGACTCAGATGGGAGAGGAGCCCTCTTTGTCTTCGTCTTCCTCCTTCTCTGGGTCTTAATCAGATTTGATGTCTGGAACTCTGACAGAACTTGACATTTAGCATGGAAATAACTTGCTTGGTATGATACAGCAGAGATAGCTGCATGCTTCATGCCAAACGTGGACTGTCTCTTAAACTATTTTTTTTCATTGCCAGAGGGTGTGTGTGCTTGAGGAAAAGAGAGAGAGAAAGAGACAGAGAGAGAGAGAGAGAGAGAGAGAGAGAGAGAGTGAGCGAGCGAGAATACTTTCATGGGGCATGGTCATCTTCTTTTTCCTCCATTCCGGCAGGATTTGGGGTATACATGAACATATACCTGTCGTGTTTTTCAAGCTGCTGGGGCTGGGATTTGAACCATGGTCACTTAAGACAAGGAAATGAGCACAGGTAAAGAAAGATGCAGAGGTTGGCTGAGATTCCTCACTATTGAGAGCGCTAGTGAGCATCTGAAGAATACTCGTGTACTTTCCCCCAGTCCCTCTTTTAGAAAACTCTCCTGTTGTGAATTATAATGCACCTATGAGGGGAACATGGAATTAAAGCAGGAGTTTATTTTAGTGCAAACATTTGTTGAAATCCATGCAGTTTTCCCATGCAACCTATTTCCTGTGAGCTTCTTGAAGACCCCTGGTACCAGTACATTTAATTGTAACTTACACGAATACTTTTCTCGGTCGGCTGTAAATGGACTTAGAATAGCCCATTCTTTCAACGAACACATACTGAGCACCTTCTGTGGTACTCTGGTTATTACTGTACGCTGACTATTGTACCAGGGAAAAGAGTCTTTGCTCTCAAGGAATGAACAATCTGAGAAGAGAGACTGATCATCAAAGCCAGTAAAATACTGTCAGAGCCAGAATCAGGGCAAGGGAGGACTGGCTGGTCAGTGAGACTTGACTTTCTGCAGAATGTGACAAAATTGAACACCTAGAGGTGATCAAGTGTGAAGGAGAGAGCACTTCAGAACGAAATCCCTCATAGACATGGCCCAAGATGCACAGTAGCAATTCTACAAGGGAATGAATGGTTTCAGTCTGGACACAGAACATTTTCTAACCCCTGGTCACAGGTGCCATGCCTTTCTTTCTAGCACCCCTCGTCCTGTTAGATCCAAGTCAGTGGTGGAAGTCCTGGCCCATGACAGAACCAGATGACAGCTGTTGAATCAAAGTTGTGCTCATCAATGAAGAAACGACTAGCAGATAGAAGGATTGAGGTTAAGACTCACAAGGCAGAGTGGGGAAAGGGGGCATTTGGCAAAGAGATGGTTGCCTCTCCTTTCCTTTTGCCCTTTCTTCACTGAGATAAAGAGAAGGGTTTTAGGAACTGGGTCCATGGCCTGGCGGTTAAGGCAGCTGGATCCCACATGGCTGACCACATGGTTTGAGTCCCAGACCTATCAGCTTAAGAAACCCACCAGGCACAAGTATGTGCTCAAAATCTTGAAGAGAGGGAGAGATGGAGATGTGGCAGTGTGACCATTCCCCACGAGGGGTGCTTTTTCCTTCTCCCTCTCCCTCTCTGGCTCTTTCTGGTGAGTCCAGGCATCCTCTAGGGGAAACAAAAAGAGGCCTAGTTGGGATAGAGAAGTTAGATAGTCTGTCTCCTGTCACCCCATCTGGCCTGCTCACTCCTTCTGTTGGCCAGGGGTCTGCATGAAAGGCTCCCATGGCTCCCACAGCTGAACTGTGACATCACAACTCTCAAGATGAACTGGAACTCTCTACTCTTCAAATATGCAAACACAAGGTTACAGTTTTTAACTTAAAAGCCATTTTATAAAATATAAAATGCTCCCAAGAGCAACGAAGTATGAAATCCAACTTTGTGAGAATTATCTCGATTGGTTATAATATACTCAGATATGCCACCTAGTAAGCCTCTTGACTCAGTCACATGAAGCGCAAAAATGGAGGGCTCTTACAATCCTCATTTCCTCAGAAACAAACAAAAATCCTGATTTGGCTGGAGAAGAGAAAAGAAACTAACTTTTACCTTCCCCACACACATTGTCTCCTTTCATCCTAATTTACAGTTATCATTATTTTGACATGTTTTTGTTTTTATGGATTAGAAAATATGACCTACTGCTTTACTTACAGTCATGTAGTTAGCAAATGATAAGAAACCTCAACCAAAGTGCTGTACGTTTCCCAAGAACCTGCTTGTTTTATTTGAACTTGGAATTTCATGCTGCGTGGACACACAGTCAGCACAAAAACATTGAACAGCATTAAACAGTAGAGTACCCAAAGACTCCACTATTTATTATGGGGAAAGATAAGCTCTTTTGCTCTCAAATCACTTACTTACTGAGCCAGTAAGAGCTGTATTAATAGGATCTTTGGATCTGTTGTCTCCCCCCTCCCCTTTTTTTCTTTTCTGTTTTTTTTTTTTTTTAAAGGTTTTTGCCATAGGGCGCATGCGCTTGCTGCAGAGACAGACAGAGAAAGTGAGAAATCACTCCCCCCACCCCCCCACGGGATAGCTAAGCTGCAATCCCCTCTCTTTCTTTCTCCTCTTGGGATTTTGGCTATGCATGCACATGCACCCAGCCTCAGTTTCAAGTAGCCAGGTCTGGGACTCGAACCATGGTAGGCCATATGAGGAATCCAGTGCCTTAATCACCATGCCACCTGTTGCCCCCTTTCTTCGTCACCCAGTGCTACAACAGCAGCTTTCAACAAGGGTGGACTCTCCGTTTAGAAAATTCTAGTAATTCTAAGTCCAAAATTGGTAGGATAGAGGGAATTTCCCTTCTCTTTTCAGCCATTGCATATTTGATAAATCCAACATCAAAAAAAGAATCATGGGACCAGCAGTTCGTGTAATGGGTATGTCGCTGGACTCCCACGTAGTCGACCGCGGTTCAAGTCCCGGACCCGGTGGCTTAAACTCACGCCGGGCACGTGTGCGTGCGTGCCCAAGATCCCAAGAGGAGAATGGAGGAGAAGGGATTGTGGCGTGGCCATCCCTTGGGGGGTGATTTCTCGCTTTCTATCTCTTTGTCTCTCTCTGTCTGGCGAGCACACGTGCCCTATAGCAAAAAACAAAACAAAACAAAAACAAAACAAAAAACCTCACCCCCCCCAAAAAAAGAATCATTAACGCAAGAGGAATGTACCTTATTCCAGTTCCCTCTTGGGCAGTTCAGTAGTTTCTTTCACCCTGATGAATACTGACTATAAGAAAGAAAGAAACGAACAAAAGAGAATTTTTCAACCACATTTACTAGCTCACATAAATATCTGAAAACAAATCCATCTGTCTTCCCTTTCCTTATCCTTGGCACAATTTATCATAGTTCTTGATAAACAAACTACTGTAAATATCCGTAAGGGGGAAATGAATTTTAAAATATGAAAGAGGTTCATAAATAGCCAAATATGTCAAGCATTGAAAGAATGATCTAATTTTTTTTTTTTTAGGATTAAGCCACTGATTTGCAACTTTTATTAAAATAAATTTTATCTATAAAAACAAGGCAATGTATAACTTGATCTCAACTTGATTTCTTTGTTTGACAGCAGTTGAATGTTTACATAAAAAAACTGTAAAACTTCAACTAGAACAAATAAGACAGACACACGCTTACACTTTAAACATTCTATCCATTTCAACACATGAAGAAGGGCTGCATATGAATTAAGATGAGTCCTGTCGCCCGCAATGCACTCTCCACAGAAAACGTTTTTAATCGCTCTCCTGTACGGTAGCTTCTAGTGGGAGTTAGTATACAGTCTGTTCTTGATGAAGACCACACTAGATAGATGTTGCCTGATGCCCGGATAATGCTGAATGTGACAAAACCAGCGAGACACATTAAGATACTTCTCCTTTTCTTGAACTGTCAGGTCAACCTAAGTAGAGATTAAAGACACACATACAACACAGACGTTACATAAGCGCAGCTATTAATATCACTTAAGTAAGAGATAGAAACTGGAAAAAAAAACCCATAAAAAGTACCCTAGCAGTTCTTAAAAGCCAACATATTTAGATAGAAGTAAATGTTCCAGCCACTTGGATAGTTTTAGCTGTTATTTGTTTAATGCTTTTATGTTGAGTTTGAAACCAGATGTGCTTCATAAGGAAATAGTAAGTTTTCAACAAAGGCAAAATTTACATTAAACCAGAATTTGGAGGCCCAGAGTTTGTTTGTTTGTTTTTTACTTTATCAGACAGGATGAAGAAGAGAATAATTTTCTAAGATATCCTTTTTTTTCTGATATATTTTAGCATACCTAAAAAAGGAAGAGGTTTATAACTAACATACTTAACTGGGGAAGAGTGTAAAACCCACACATCCATCTCGCTATCTATCTATCTATCTATCTACCCATCCATCCATCCATCCATCCATACACACACACACACACACACACACACACACACCTATCCATGTAAATGACTGGTATGTATACTATTGCTGACTTTCTACTTAACTGAAGCAAAACCTCACTCAAGAAGACAGTGACCTGTTTAAGTGATTATTGCTTTAATAAAAAAAGGAAGGCTAGGGGTCAGACAGTGGCATGGTGGCTGAGATGGCTGGATCCCACACGGTTGACTGCATAGTAAGAGACCCCGACCTGGTGGCTTGAACTGGGCATGTACCCATTGGGTATGTGTACGTGTGTGCCCAAAATCCCAACAGGAAGGAGAAATGAAGGAGAAAGAATTGTGGCATGACCATACCCCACTGGGGGGGCGAGTACTTTCTCACTTTCCTTGTGTCTCTCCAATGAGTACACACATCCCATAGCAAATTAAAAGAGAGAGAGAGAGGAAAAAAAAAAGAAGACCTATTTCTAGTGGCAGATGAAAAGGGCTGAGTAAACATGTAGGAACAACAGGCCTTCTAAATTCTGTCTGCGATAAAGCTAAACTGTTTCAGTGGATATAGCAATTCACAGAACTTACTATCAAGCTACGAAATGCCCAGAGCTGGTTAGAGAAACATGCAATAAAAACTGTAGTATCCATTCTTTCATTAGACTCAAGTCCCAAAGTAGGTGACTTAAAGACTTTTCTCTAAGCTAAACTTTGGGATTTGTATCAGGTAAAAAGGAAGCCAACAGAGCAGCGACTTACAGTCATGAGCTCATGTGTTGGAAGTGTCGTTCTTTCCCCTGTTTATTCCACATTTATTTAACAGATATTGCAAGTCTCCAAAACGCTGACAGGAATGTTTACACAGAGAAGAAACTCGCTCACCCCATGAATGGTCCAAACTCATCAGCTGCCTGCTGGTCTGGAGATATAAAGTGAGATGGACATCCTGTGGCATTTTAGAATTTAGCACATGCTAAATTTGCCTGTAGGTGAATATTCTAAGACATCAAATCAACAGAAACGAAGAACAGCCATTCTGGGATGCGATAATTATGACTGAACATGAAGTAATATTAACAATCAAGTAAGAAGGCAGTCAGTATATTCTCAGATGTTTAACTGAATTCCTATCTCTTGGCTTGATTGTCTTAAGTTGTTAGTACTGAGTCTCATTGCTCCCCTTACATACAAGTTTAAGCTTTGGGTTTTAGTGATGCATGAGTCCTACACACAAGCTGCTACAGCAAACTACAAAAAATATATTCATCTTGTTTAAAAGGATGCAAGGTTATGTCGAGTTATTGAAAAGATGTTACTATAATCATTTCACCTTTAATACAGTCATTTCGTGACATACTTTTTTAAAAAGAATTATCTTATTTAACTCTATTATTTATTTTGATGAGAGAGGGACAGAGCGATAAAGTGAGAGAGAGAAAGAGAGAAAAAAGGGAGAAAGTAAGCCATCAGGTCTAGAACTCAAACAATGGTTGGCCATGTGGGAGTCCAGCGTCCTTAACCACCATGCTACCTGCTGGCCCTACTATCATATAAAGATTAAAAAAAAAAAAACCATAAAAATAAACTAATACATTAGTCAAAAAAACTGGTCAAGAATTCTTAAATGCAAAAATTGTTTTTTATTAAAGGAATTCATGGCTTCACATGTGAAGAATTACATTTCTCCCGTTACATTCAGAATAAAAGGAGCACCTGTCTGGTGCATTTACATAGTAGGGATTTAACATCTGTGAAATACACAGCATCAATCAGTATTTCAAAATATTAAAAAAAATTTCATAAAAGACCCATCTGCTCTTTTTCTAGATCTTTAACCATATGCAAATTTCGCTAATGATTTAAAATATATATATTTTGGGGGAGAAGGGGGCCAGCCAGTGGTGTGATGGTTAAGGCGGCTGGATTCAACATGGCCGACTATGAGGTTCAAGTACCAGACCCAGCAGCTGGAAAAACCCTCCAGGCACGTACGCATGTATGTGTGTGCATGCCCCCAAAATCCTGAAAGCAGAAGTGGATTTACATAGTAGGGATTTATCATCTGTGAAATACACAGCATCAATCAGTATTTCAAAATATTAAAAAAAAATTTCATAAAAGACCCATCTGCTCTTTTTCTAGATCTTTAACCATATGCAAATTTTGCTAATGATTTAAAAAATATATATTTTGGGGGAGAAGGGGGCCAGCCAGTGGTGTGATGGTTAAGGCGGCTGGATTCGACATGGCTGACTATGAGGTTCAAGTACCAGACCCAGCAGTTGGAAAACCCCTCAGGTACGTACGCATGTATGTGTGCGCATGCCCCCAAAATCCTGAAAGCAGAAGTGGGGGAGAAAGGACTGCAGTGTGATCATCATCTCTGTCCTCCTCCAGAGGGGGTTGCTTTCTCATTTTCCCTTTCTCTCTGTCTCTTCGGTGAGCCCCCACCTGTCCCCTAGCAATTTTTTTTAAAAGTACTATTTTTATAAAGCTTAATTACTAGCAAATACAGCTGCAAATCTAAGAGGTAATGGATGAGTTTTATTCCTATTGCATTTCATGCCAGCTACTGATACGCTGATGATCAAATCTAACCTCTTTCTTATAATCTTAGTCTTTCCAGTGTGCTTTCATTTTAGACTCCACTCAGCCACTTTGTGGAATGCTATTTTCAGAGTGAACTGGAGTACACAGGAATAAAGCAATTCAAATAATAGAGCCCCAACGCTTGTTTGATCTATGTTCGGACTGCCCACTCAGATTCTGAACCAGGTAAAAAGGGCAACACACATTTAATGTATTTATGTGTCATATCAACATGTGCCATCACAGAATACATACATGCAAACACGCTGCTAGGTCTACTATTTAAAGTGACAGTAACAACAACGTATACCACGAAGCAAAATGAGTCATTTCCATCTTCAAAACTCACATTTGGAGTCTCTAATGTACAAATTAGAAGTCGAGCTACATATAAAATAAGTTTTATTCCGAGTGCTCAAGTTCCTCACATTTACTAATTGATTTCAACTTCTGAAGACTGTTTGTTCTATTTCACATGTTAAAGATGATTTCAAAAGGATAATTTACTCATTTTCCCACAGAATATTTCGCCAGAAATAGAGATTTTCCAAAAGGATCTGGTTACCTCTTTAACTTCCTTTTATACTTTAACGTTGGAGCTTGTCCCCCTGAGAGCACTATCTGTCCTCAATTTGTGACCACTGCTACTTTTTGGGTAGATATTCTATATAGGAAAATTGCTATAAACAAAATGACAGATTTTTTTCCCCTTTACCAAATTAATTTTTTTATGAAGCTTTTAAAGGAGGCCTCCCTAGGCTATTTCACTTATCACGCTGGTTTTCCATCATTCCTTCCTAGTCGGCCAGCGTTTTCTCCAACCCTACAGCAGGAAACAGCGCGATTGTTCTCCTTACTGTTTCCAGCTTCTTACTGGTCTTCATGCCAGTGTGTCTAGAGTGGGGCTTGATTCTTTCTACCGACCATTCCTTTTTATTTATACTGGCATCCTAGAATTACTTTGAACTGTGAAGCCAAAGAGATAATATTCTGAATCACACATTTTCCATGAAGACATGTGAGAAACACTTTTTAAGCGACCCATTCCTGACCAGGGTGTGATACCGGCTGGCACCAGGCCGCCTTTGGGACATTCTTTAGGGCCAGTGTTCCTGGACTATTTTGGGGCTATTTCTTTTACTTTTCTCCTCCTTCTAAAAGAATCACGATGTCCACTGGTGCTCCACACTGTGAAACAAATACATTATGGTTGATAACAATCTAAGAGTCCAACAGCACATAACATTACAAAGGACTTTAATAATCTTGAGAAGCAGTCTGGTCACAGCGACTGCTATCTCCCAGTGAAATCGCTTGGAGAGAGCAGTGAGTCACCGCTGTTATAATCAACAGCCACACTAAGGGGTAGTTTAACAAAGGAAGCGCAACGTAATATTCCTCAAAGGGAATTAAGATAGGCCAGATCGCATAATTGGAACAAGTCAGCCACAACTAAAATGGGGCTCATATTGAAACAAAATACGGTGAGATTATTTGACAACCTGAGGGTTCCTTAACTGATGTTTTGTACAATTGATTACAAATAAGTATTTAATAACGGGAACAAACAAATGAAGGCATGCATGAGAGTAAAAACAGGCATATTGCCAAATTAAATAAAGCACAAGAACCTGATGAATATGAGCGAGTAGCCAATCTAGACGTCCATCTACCTTCCTTGAATTTAAAACCCAGTGTCGTTTTCTCCTCTGTGCATATTTATACCCAAGTTACCAGGAATGTCACTGAACACCACGTGCAATTCTGACATGGTGTGGGTTGCAGCCTGTGAGGTTAGTTTCCTGAAAAGGTGTTTACTGCTCTGATTACTTTCCTGCACTTGGAACAGGGTGGAGAAAAGGCTTCGACTCACGGTATGAACCCAAAGGGACAGTCAACAGGGAGTTTTACAAATTATCCCACTCAATTTTGTATG